CACACCTAAACTTAAGTCCCAAGCCTTGAAACCGACTGCAGCTTAAGATCTGTGTCATTGTCTCGTACTAAAATGACCGAGCCGTGTTTTAGTGCTGAGCGCTTACGCTTGATTGCCCTGTTCGGATTTCCGTGCTGCTTCCTCTAAGCCGTTGGCCAGCTGGTTGCCACACGGCGCGTGTCTGGCCGGGTGCTGCGGGAGCGGTGGGTGTCGCCGGACCGCCGGCCGCGCGGCGCTGACGCCTGGTCTCGCGCCGAGCGCCGGCCGCGCTCCAACACAAACAAGCTCAAGACCCGAGATTGTCCCGAGACGACAACAGTCGACGTTGTTCTGAGGATGTCAGCGCCTCATCGCTGTGGAAGTTTGTCATGTGAACAGTGAGCTGTTGTCAAACAGATGAGAAAGTTTGATAGCGATGGAGTGTTTTAATGGAGCTGTTCAAAAGGGTCAGGCATCTTAATTCAGCGATAGAGAAATATGTCTAGTGGGCCAGGGTCAGATCAAAATAGACCCAGCGGTCCCGGCCGTGACGCCTTGTAAATTACACGCCTGTGGCTCCCAGCCGCCGATTACGGGGCCATAAGGCATAATAAATACATATCATGCCTCTGTTGTGCTATTTCATTCTGCATATTAGGAACAGTGAAATAGCAGAACAGATATGCAAACCAAATCATATTTCGGGATATTCGTCGTCGTAGATCGCTTCCGTAAATGTCCCACATGTCGAATTCCGGTGAATTACAGAAGCAACGCCGGCTGGCGCACACCGGCTGCCGACGTACTTTTACTTTCGGATGTTGCCAGTCCAAGCCATAATTTTGCTGTGCTCAGTTCAGACACTGACACAAAGATGGCCCGCCACCTAGACCCGAGACTGTCTCCGTCCACCGCGGCACACAGCCAGAACGTGGCAGAAGATGACCACCGCAAAGGCAGGCACAGTCGGGAAATGTACGGGACAACGCACAGTCGGGAAATGTACGGGACAACGCGAACCAACAACAGCGCACGCGAATGCGAGCCCAGATCCCCAACCAGCCGCCCAGACCCGCGGCGCTGGGGCCGGCTCGCAAGTGTCGCCCGGCGGACGCAGCCGGTTAGAACGGCCGCCACCAGGTGTTCCGCCGGGCGAGTCGAAGACAAGCGTATCATGTGATCGTTGACGGCTGGGGGCTGTCAGGCCGGGGCGCAGTGCGAGGCCTTTGTTACCGCGGGTTCGTCCGCTGACGGCCGCACCGCACGCAGGGGGGGGGAATGGGGAGGGGAAGGGGGGGGGGGCGGTGACCGCACAGGTCCAGCTGAGGTTACCCTGAGGGACCACACACGCGCGCCGGTGGATACTGGATAGTGGTGGTGTTTTCTGTAAGTAGTCAGCGTGGTGAGGTCAAGCGGTGAAGCTCGATATAACCCGATGCGACATGACAACACATGACGACATATTGCAAGAACGAACGGATGGTCATGTAAGCACCTGTTTCAAGTAGCCTGATATTTTGGGCTAGTGTTTGACTGAAATGGCAGCACCTGCGGGGCAACGACACCTCTGGCGACAATAATCCAACTTATCATCTCATTTGTAACTGATGACTGATGAAGGTTGCTCAGTAGTCGTACTCATTCGAGCGCAAGGCGATGCTCGCTCTGGTTTTCAGTCCTCACGTCCCTGCCTCACGGCACGGCACGCCCCTGTCCTCACGTCCCTGTCTCACGGCACGGCACGCCCCTGTCCTCACGTCCCTGCCTCACGTCCCAGCCTCACGGCACGGCACGCCCCTGTCCTCACGTCCCTGTCTCACGGCACTCGGTCCTGAATAAAGCACTTCCCACTGAACGGGCAAACCCAGAACGCAAGTGTAGAAATCGCGCCATTAAAATTCACTCGCAGCTAACAACTGTCCAAAAGAAAAAATCCTATCAAAGGTATTCCCAGTCTTATGTGTCCGATTGCTTTACTCAAGTAATACATTTTGATTTTGTTCTGAGTCAGAAATTCCCTCGCCATCCTTCGTACAGGCCGGCATGCACCTGGTTGCCGTTCTCATCAAGTCCTCTTTCCCAAAGTTAACAGCCGCATAAGCCATTTAAATCTGGTTGGGAATGCATGGAAATTACGTAGAATATGACTTACCAAATATTTCACATTGAAGTATTTTGATCCCCCTGAGACTTTTTAAACGGTGACCGTGAAGTATGAAATGACTATGAAACGTTAGACATGTTATGATTATCATTGGTGTGTATCATTAGCATTAGCATTCGCTGTGCTGTACTTCCCCATTCAGTTGGGGACGGAGGGGGTCCCCATCCCAGCTTGCGATCCAGTCTCCCTTCTTAGAGAAAAAAGTAGGCCGGATCCTGGAAGAAACCTATCTGCTGGCAAATTTTTGGGGTAGATTTGATAATTATCCACGGTTCAGCCTCCCAACTCACTTTGCGAATCCGCGCCTCTGATCGTACGCAAGGTGAAGCACTGTTATGAAAACAAAATAATTCACAAGCTACGATACAAACATCAACCAATCGCATCCATCTCGCTGCGCGTTGCAGGAACACCTCGGGTCTGCAAAATCGTGAGATTTGCAGCACCGTCACGTTTGGAGATATTGAACAGGCAAAGCGATCAACGATAGATCGGCAGCATCGAAATGTGATGATGGCTGCCGGAGTATCAACCAGCATCTAACACGATTCGAACCACAGGATGACCGGTCCCTCACCAATTCGTCTCTGGTTCTAAAGACAAATGTACACGCTTTCTGTCGATAGTAAGCGTGCATCTTTGACGATCTAAGGGAGCACACAAACGAGTGGGAGCTTTGGCGCAATGCAGCAGGACGTATCTAGTAAGATCATGAGGTGTGGGTTTTTGTGGAGGGCTGTCGAACGCAGCAATTTAATGGGGTCAACCTTGGCCCTCTTAATTTAAATAAAAAGGTGGCCATCGCAGGCACGGCATTATCCTGAACTGGCTGTCGCTCGCTCAAGCATGTCAGAATTTCTGTTTCCCCAAACAGATCGTGCGCTAGCCTGCAACACCGGTGTCTAGTTCGCGTCTGCCCGAACCAGATAACGAACGCTGGTGTCGACTGCACCTTGTGGCGTAAACCAAAGCTGCGGGCATGTCACATGACACGCATCAGCCTGCGACCCCCTGCGAACCAGAGCCGGCCGCGACATGAGCGGCGTTACGATAACTCGCTCTGGGGACCGCAGAAGCCTGGGCTGGGCCACGTCACCAGCCGGAAACACGCCCAGTCAGGACTGACTCAACGCGCTGACGGCCAGCCAAATAAACCAGCTCGTATTAGCAAACGGGTGGTCCCAGTGCGGTAACACCACGCCAGGGGTGCAGCGACGGTCTCTTGACGGCGCGCAGCTGCTCTCGCGGGGGAAGCCTGTCTGCAAAATGCTTTCAAAGCTCCAAACACTCGCCTTTTTCGGCCTTACAAACTCTGTCAGCCTGCGGCTATCGCCATTTACCTTCTGCGCGCGGTCTCAAGTAGGCATGCCACACCTTTTATTGCCGCCCGCGGAGCGTCCATCTAGGCTGATATATTCCGCCCTTCACTAGCGTTGAGCAACGGCCGGGCGCAGTCCACAAGCAAAGGCCACTGCTGTTTCACCCCGCGCTGCATTTGTCAGTTGCCCTGCCCGCCCCGGGTGAAAACTACGTAGAGCCTTGCAGCGGCAAATTTATCACGCCATTTACGTGAGCGGCAGGCAACCATCGGCACGTATCCAATTCAGCTGTACAGCTCCCACTTGTTGCAAAGTGCAAGCAGCTGCAGCACACCATGACAAACATCTGCCGACTGCCATTTCATTTCCATGCACACCGCCCGGCGTAACTCACCCAGTAGCTGACACTGCATTTGCACATTCAGAACCTCATCGACTGGATAGTCAATGATGCATTTTCATGTAACATAAGCAAGAAAGGCCTTGAACTTTTTTTGGCAGTGTCAGTTGGAAGTACTATTCTGACAGTAGCCGCCCCTGGACCGCCGGGAAGAGGTCATCCATCCGCGTCACGTCACGCACAGGTCCGTCACCTCCTCTCAAGCCCGCACACACACACACAGCTGGACTTAAATTGGTGTATTAAGTAAAAGCCCGACCGCGGCGCCGACATGGCACCGCGGTCGCACCTGCCGACGACTGGCGCCGACATGGCACCGCCTGCCGACAACTGGCGCCGACATGGCACGCCTGCCGACGACTGGCGCCGACATGGCACGCTTGCCGACGACTGGCGCCGTGCAGCCGATGGTCACGACCCCCCACGTCCCGCCGTCACACGGGCGGGCGGCCCGGCCCGTCCCGGCGCCGGTCAGCACGCAGGCACGCAAATCTACGGCGCAGGGGGGGCGGAGGGACAGGCCCTGCATGGGCCAATGACGTCACCAAACGAGTGCGAGTCAGTTTGCATCGATGTCTCCCCGTAAGCTAGTCACACGCGTAACTAATGCACACAAGCGCAACTAAGGAAGCGGGACAGTCCAAAATACAAGCTGGACCATATTCGACACATTTTGAGACGTCTCGAAATACTCCGAAGCCGCATAAAGATGCACTGAATTTAATTATACGAATTATACAGAAGCGGAGAATCGCATGAAGCAAATAGTTCCACCACCACCGCGCGGGGGCCGAAAAGCCTTTAATCTATGAGTGCATTTAAGCAGCCTAGTTCAATCGACCGATAAAATTAAGAACATGTCCGCCGAGACAAACACGTTACAGGCAATTAAAGAAGTCATGCAAGTGCCAAAAAACAATGTGCTAGCTGACCGCTTTAGTCGCAAAAAGCACCACTAACATGAACACTGTCCTCGCCACAGCAGACACATGACACGCCCATCACAGGCGGCCACTAGCGCACGTCCGGCTTCGACTACCCCTCGCTTCCATCTCTCTCTCTCTCTCTCTCTCTCTCTCTCTCTCTCTCTCTCTCTCTCTCTCTCTCTCTCTCTCTCTCTCTCTCTCTCTCTCTCTCTCTCTCTCTCTCTCTCTCTCTCTCTCTCTCTCTCTCTCTCCCTCTCTCTCTCTCTCTCGTCCAGCCAGCCCCTCTCTCGACTAGCCCTTGGCTGGACCCGGAGACGCGCCTCGGCTTTCCAAGACTCCCTGGCATGTCAGACCACTTCGCACCATCACCAAACCCTCTTCTCCATCAGGCACCCTTCACGCCGCCACCACCCATTCTTCCCCTCAGCCGGCGCCACCGACCGCAGGCAGCGCCCGGCCCACCCCGTCATGACTTCAGCACGGCTCCCGGTCTCAGCGTTTCCGGCTGGGAGGCCTAACCTAACCTAACCTTCACCAGCTACGCTCCGCTCCGCCCCGATCTGAGCGTGGCAGGCAGACACCGAGTTTGCTCCAGCATCTGCCTGCCTCACCTGGCGCTGGCGCTGCATCCGAACCTCACAAAAGCGCCCGCCCCCCAGCGCCAGCTCCGCCCCCGGCTTCGACACCATCCTGCTGAGCCTGAGCCTCGTCCAGCCACACCACGGTGCTGAAGTTCGCGCCAGGCTACCGCCTCCAGCTCCACCTCCATCGGCAATCACGGTGGCGCGGTACTGAGCCTGGGCCTCCTCCAGCACGGCACTGAGCACCACCACAGCGCCAGGTCCGCCCCAGATCTCAGCGAGACGGCGCTGAATCTCACGCCTCCGGCTCCGGCTCCGGCTCCAGCTCCGCTCCGGGCCGCAGCGCCACCGTGCTGAACTTCAGCGGCATGTCCGTCCGCTCCAGGGTGACGTGCACGCGCGAGAACAGCTCAATCAGCTGACTGCAGGCCGGCTCGGTGTCGGTAGCGCGCCAGACCAGGCGCAGCCGTGGCACGCCGCCCGCCTTCGTGAACTCCAGAGACTCCACGTCCAGCTTCTGCGGAGGGGGCGAAGAGGAGCGCTATATCGGGGCTGCGGAACACATCACGCAAAGCTCAGCTGCTTTCCTACAGTAGAACAAACTAAAACAGCCACGAGAAGCGAGCCGAGCCGTCGAGCGGCGCACTTACGTCGATGTAGACGCGCCGTGAGACGGCCATCTCGGTGATGAACACGTCGAAGCTCTTGTCGAGCACGGCCATGACGACGGCCTGCTGGCGGATAGGGCCGCACAGGTCCACCATGTGCGCCAGGAACAGCAGAGAGCACGCCTCCGAACACAGCCGGGCAGACAGCTTGCGCTCGTTACAGCGCACGCAGATCCTGGCGACGGGGGAGCGCCACGTCACGGCCAGAACATCACGTCTTGTCACGGCAAGAACACGTCTCGTCACGGCCAGAACACCACGTCACGTCGAGGCCAGAAAGCCACGTCTCGTCACGGCCAGAACACCACGTCTCGTCACGGCCAGAACACCACGTCTCGTCACGGCCAGAGCACCACGTCTTGTCGCGGCCAGAGCACCACGTCTCGTCACGGCCAGAACACCACGTCACGTCACGGCCAGAGCACCACGTCTCGTCACGGCCAGAGCACCACGTCTCGTCACGGCCAGAGCACGTCTCGTCACGGCCAGAGCACCACATCTCGTCACGGCCAGAGCACCACGTCTCGTCACGGCCAGAGCACCACGTCTCGTCACGGCCAGAACACCACGTCTTGTCACGGCCAGAACACGTCTCGCCACGGCCAGAACACCACATCACGTCACGGTCAGGTCCGACATGGAGCAGACCGCGCCCGGCGGACGAAATCGGGGGGGGGGGGGGGTACTCGTGACAAGGCATACACACCCGGAATGTGCCAAGACAGACACGTTTGGAATCGATATTGTGGCCATCACCGCTCGATCTTTCACAGGGAGCATGCGACGTGTGCGCATGTGCTACGGTATGTTGCGTGTGCATGTATCACGCAAATGCTCGGTCAAAACCAGCGTCTGCCCATCCGAACGTGGTAGATTTTAGAGGCAAAGACCGACACGAAACAGCAGGGCACCGCAGCGTGCCGCCGCGCCGCCAGCCCTGGAACCCGGCGACGGCGACGGCGACGGGGACGGGGGCGGGGGCGGCGGCCGGGGCGGCGCGGCGGCAGGGGCGGGGGTGGCGCCGTCGCCTCACCTCTGCACCAGCGACGGCGGCAGCGGTGCCGGCCGGTCGTACTGCAGCGCGGCGGCCAGCAGCCGGTGCACGAGCACGTCCGGGTAGCGGCGGATCGGCGACGTGAAGTGCGTGTAGAGCGGCACGCTCAGCGCGTAGTGCCGGTACTGCTCCGGCTGCGTCAGCACGCCCGAACAGAAGTACTCAGCGGCCTGCCGGTGCGCGCCAGCGGCGTTACTGACCGCAGGGTACCGCGGCGAAACGGCAAGGGAGACGGGTCGGCCGGGCCGATATAAGGCGCTGGCCGTCGCTAACCATGCTATCGTCAAAATAGGCATAGCCCACCTGGTCCAGTGTCACAGGCCTATTGAAATCAGCGATCATGCGGCATGCCTCCATCTGAATGATCACACCACTCCGACCGCGTCATATCACTGGCATGGTCCCGCCTCGCAGTGTTGCTTCACGGTCAACGTTCATTGCTGCTTACTGCAGTCGGTACAATGGAAGCCGCATGAAATGGAACACGGCCTGCAGCGACGCCGTGGCCGTCGCTGCACCTCGCAGGACCAGCCATAAACACCAGTCAGTGAGGCTCCCTCCTAGCAACAGCCGCGCCAGCGCTGATCCACAACTACCCCCTAACCCCTGCGGACGGCTCGCTCACGTTCATCGGCTTGCTGAGCAGGTTGACGACGACGGCCATGCGGGATCGTGCCTCGTCCGGGGTCAGCTCCTGCTGCCACCTGGCGGCCATCGCCTGCAGCGAGTCGTGCACGGAGCCGCTCGACGCCACGTCCATCTGTCGGGCGGCGGGAGTGCGGTGGACGGCGGCGGCACTCGCGCTCGCGCAGGCACCAGCCGGCTCCGGACAACCAAGAGGAGAGACGTGGCGACCGAGGAGAGCCAGGAGGAATCCGCTATGTCACGATGGACCTCCCCTCCCCAAAGAAATCGGCAAGACAGGCAGCTGCGGTCGCGGCTTCTTCTGAGCTCTCATCATCATCTGTCACCGGACATACGATATAGGCAGGCATCGGCAAGAAACAAGACACCATGCGAGGACCAATCAAACGCTCGCACTACTCCTGTGGACTCGCTTTTCTCGTACCCAACGGCACCACGGCGTTTCCGCACCACGCTCCTCGGACGCAGTCCCGTCCCGTCTCCGCTCACCTCAAGCCCCATGCTGCGGAGGAGGCGAGCGGCGTCCGCCAGCGGGCCCTCTTGCGGCGGCGCGTGGCGGCGCAGCACGGCCAGCGACGGGAACGAGCGGAGCACGCGCCGCGCCACCGCCATGTTGGCCAGCAGCATGAACTCCTCGATCAGACTGACGGGACAGGGGACGGTGCGTTAGTGGCGAGCGGCGGCGCCCAGCGGCTGCAGGCGCCGCAGCGCGCTGACCGGCGGGGATCAGGCCGTCGCAGGCTCAGTTACGCGACCGTGTGCGGCGTTCTTCGGTTACAGGCCGACCGTCGGGACAACGAATAGCTTACGGCGCTGGGAATCAAAGGCGATCGCCACGCAGCAGCAGTGGCGATGGTGACGACGGTAAGGACATTAAGGTGACCGGTCGGTCTGAGCACGGCCACCGGGCGCGGCGCCCACCGTAACGCGCCACCCATCTCCAAACGGCCGACGCGTCCAACGACTCCCACCGGAGATCAGCCGGCGCGCTGTCGGAATCCGCCGCGACCACTGGTCCCCAGGCCACCTCACCCCACCTCCCGACGAGGACACATACAGCCGTCAGCATGCCTGAGAGGCCCAGCCTCAGCCGCGGCTGGCGTCACTCGGCGACCCCTCCCACGCACCGGTTGCTCTCCTGCTGGTGGTACGTGTAGAAGCCGGTGGGCGTGCCGTTGGGACCGTCCAGCGCGAAGCACAACTTGGGCTGGTCCAGTCGCAGGGCGCCATCGTCGACGCGACGCTGGCGCATGCACCTGGCGGGCGCGGACTCGCGGGTCAGCTGGCTGGCAGAGACGGACCGCGGTTCACACGGGCCGCCGCGGCCGACAGCTGGGCTTGAGCAGGCTAGCTCAACCCGGCGGCCAGCTCAGCGACAACGGGACAGACGGGCCTCAGCAGAACAAAAGTCGTTCCATGACATTGCGGTCAGGCGTTCGACACCGTCCCGCTGGTGCTTTGGCCGCTCCCGCAGTTGGTGAGAGAGACTGCAACACTTACAACACGTGCCCAATGGCACATCCCAAGATTTCACTGCAAACCACGTCACAGCCATCATCACTCAACACTGCGCTGGAAAACCAGCGCGGAAACAAGTGGAAACAGCCAATGTGATACAGTTCATAGTCGATTTGATGCTTCCAAACACAAGATTACACATCGCAATCGCGTCAAAGACCTCCTCATCCCGAGTGCCTGGGCCCGGTCCGGCTCTACGCGCCACTCACTGGGCCATGCGGTGGAGCGTGAGCACGCGGTGCCGCACGTCCTCGGCCGTCCAGCGGCCGTCGATCGGCGGCAGCTCCTCGGCCGCCGGCGGCCGCTCCGGCTCGTCGATGATCCTCTGTCGACGGAGAACGGGAACGGTCAGATCAGCGGGGCGGAGGCGGCCGCCGGGCGGAGACGCCGCGGCCGGCTCGGCTCCGAACCGGTGCGCGGAGCACCCCCCCCCCCCCCCCCCGCTCGTGAAGTCACCCCGCCGGTCGGGTGACGTCGCGCGGCTGCGCGGGGTAATCAGGAGACTCGACGCCCGATGGCGCGAGGTCCGATGGGGTTTATCCCCGGACTTTCGGGAACGCATCGATGGGCTTAAGTCCATCTGTCCCACCGGTTTATTTACATCCCTTGAACGGCGGCAGTGTCTGCACGCTTTGGGTCGTCCGTTGGGTGGTTACGACGTCATAAAAATGGCTGCGGATATCCCAGGGTACACAAGCCTGAAATTATCGGTGACACGAGGCTCGTAAGACACTCGACATTCCTAATGGTGCCTACACACGCCAGTTACAATCGATCAAGAGATCACGTTTGGGGGACTTTTCGGGATGTCAAGTATGAGCACGCTTGTCTTGGCGGGACGACAAGATCAGCCACATCCTTCCTGCCTCTTAAAGATATACCGAATCTTCCGCCCGCACCGGTTCAGATGATTGAACACCTGAATTTGAAAACGTCGATTTACTCACTCAAGCCAGCCTGCTATTCATTTCGATTTATTCATCCCCTCTTCGCGAACAACCACGGACATTGGTAACGTGCCTCGATCATCAGAAAGGAAATTAACGACACGTCTGCGATTGATCACCCAACACAGCCCAACATCAGCATTCGCGCATAATCAAAGTGGCGGTAAAAACCGTCCAACCCCGACCTCCCGCGGCCTCATCACTCGTGCGCGCCAGTCCTCGCCCCATCCGCCATCTTGTTTGTAGGAATGCTGAACCGTGCTTCGACGCACCCATCATTCCAGGCCATTCTGCCAACAACCTCACACTTTGGATAACCGGATGAACACTAAATGCCTGTGGCACGGACTCGAATCCCAGATTCAAGACGCATCCGTAGCGATGAGCACCACGTTCGACATGAATGCACGTCGCACCGACGTCACGAGCAGGTCCGCACGCATACCGGCTAAACCGCTCACAAGATACAAGCCGTCGGTCAGAGCTATGCTCATGTGTGCTGGTTTCGTAGGGTTCCGAGCGTAAAACGCCGAAACAACCCAGAACGCCTGTAAAGTCATGCGTGAGCAGCTGCGGGCTAACCTGCGCGTGCTCGTACGCCATCTTGGTGCACGAGCGGATGACGGTCCTGCCGAACCACTCGTCGAAGACGCGGCCCTCGCTGTCCAGCGTCCACATGGCGGAGAAGGCCAGCCGGTCCTGCGCCGGGTTCAGCGAACACAAGTCCTCGCAGAGCAGCCTCGGCAACATCGGGATCACCTGGGCACCAGACGAACGTCACCGCTTGACACCCCGCCGACCTCCGCCGACGGGCGACAGACGCCACTGCGTGCATCACCGAGTCAGTGTTCTACGCCCACGAATAAAAGGTGTACAAAAGACACGACTTCAAAATAAAAATTATCCGCAGCAGCAGGTTTGTGGCTGACGGAAAAGAAGAGCCCACAAGCAGTTCAACGAAGCGGACGCCACGGACGGCACCGCGGCCGTCCGAGACGGCGTCTGGGCCGGCCGCCCGCTGCAGCGTCCTCAGGGGCCGCCTCGGCCAGAGCGGCGGCGCAGCGCTCACCTTGTGGACGAGGTAGACCGAGTTGCAGCGCTCGGCGGCCGTCAGGTCGGCCGGCACGCCCTGGCGCAGAAAGTAGCTGACGTCGGCGATGTGCACGCCCACCTCGAACTGGCCCGAGTCGAGCCGGCGGCACGAGACGGCGTCGTCCAGGTCGCGCGCCGTCAGCGGGTCGATGGTGAAGACGCACTCGGCCCTGGCGTCAGGCCGGAGCTCGTGTCACACGTGGCGCGGCGCGTCCAGACGAGCCAACCACGGGTCTTGCAGTGTCTCGCACCGCCACCAGGGCACGACGACCCCGACAATGTCGTGATGTATATAACCCGACAATACTCGACAATGTCGTGCGTCGACAGATGTTCTTTGCGGTGATCATTATCACCACAAAGCGCGCACAGTGTGACAGATACCACACGGGGCTTGCCTACTTGCCATCACAATACGAGCGCCCTGTCCGGACACGCCCAGCCCGACACTGTGCCTCAGCCCGGCTGGTCAGTCCCAGCCTGCCCGGCGGCGGCCCCGACCCGGGGCCTCTGCTGACCTAAGGTCGCGACGCCGGGCCACCTCCTCGGCCGGGATGGTCCAGGGCGCCGTCGGCAGGCCCTCCAGGTCCTGCGGCCCGAACTCGCGCGTGTCCACCCCGTGCTCCAGCAGGATAGCCTCCATCTCCACGTCCACGCTGCCCGTCTCGCCCAGCTGACGCGACAGTCGCCTGCAGGTCAGGGTCAGGTCAGGCCAGGTCAGGTCAGGTCTGGTCGTATGGCGGGGCACACATGTCATCGCGAACTCCTGTGTCACTTATTCTGACAACGTAGGGATCGGAGCTCGTTACACCGTGGTCGCTGCTGCCACCGTCTGGTCAGAAATCATGCGACCCTGCCACGCGACGAGAAAACTCAGGCAATTCTCGCAATTGGCACACCATTGGTCAAACAATCGGATCACTCCACGTACAATCGGTCCAGCCATCTGACCTGAAGAGCCCAGCGCCCGGCCAGCGTACCGGGCGGAGTACCACCCGCCCTTGCCGGCACGTCACCGCACCGCACCCGGCACCCGGCAGGTCTCTCACCCCCTGGCGTAGCCGGGGTCGGTCCACTCGGTGATCTGGGCCATGAAGAGGGTGCGCGCGTACAGCTGCGGCTGCTGGAAGAAGTCGGCCGGGCAGTCGGCGGCGGCCACCTTGAGGCGCGGCACGCGGTGGTCGCGCGGCGCGAACAGCGCCTGGTGCCGACTGCCGTCCGGAAACTGGCGCAGCTCGCCGACCGCGCAGCGCGGGTGCTTCTTCTCCAGCACGGACACCACCTGGCGGGACGCCCGCGCGCGGATCAGCGGCGCTGCAGCAGGCGGGGGCGGGCGGGGCGCGAAGGCGGAGAGTGCATAAGAGCATAAAGCGAATGTGCGTGGTTCTGTGACGACTCTTGGACCGTCCGCACCAGCGTAGTCGCAGCCGGGACGTGTAGAATGCGTCACGGCATTGCGGCTAATCCAACTCTAGTCGCATTACAGAGCCGATGACGGATGGCAAGCCAATGACCGACGAACACGGGCGATGGCAAACCAACGGGTACCTGACGAAGCCAGTTCGGACCGCAGCAGACTCAGGCTCAAACGCTTGAAAAGTTATTCTGACAATAAGAAAGACATGATATCTATCTATCTATCTATCTATCTATCTATCTATCTATCTATCTATCTATCTATCTATCTATCTATCTATCTATCTATCTATCTATATATATATATATATATATATATATATATATATATATATATATATATATATATACATATATATCATGCTCTTCTCGAGCTTGAAGAAGCCTCGTTTATAGCAGGCCTGACCAACCCAAACCCAACCCAGGCTTGTCCATTCATGGCGCTGTCCGGGAGCGACGCCAACTCACCTTGGCAGTGCGCTGAACAAAGCGGCCCCACTCGGGGTGTTTGAGCGCCCGCTCCACCGTCACGCCCAGCGAGCCGCCGTCAACGGCCGGCGCTGGCGTCGAGGCGCCGTCCGCCCCCTCCCTCTGTCCTGGCCTCTCCGACTTCTTCGGAGGACGGCCACCGCGCTTCTTCGGAGACCCCTCCGGAGCCGGAGCCGGAGCCGGAGCCATGGTCGGAGCCGGAGCTTCAGCTGAGGTCACCGGCACAGTCTCCAGCGCCGCTGACACGCTGTCGTGTCCCCCCTCCCCCTCCCCATCCCCCGCCGTCGTCTTCTTCTTCTTGGAGGCTCGGCGGCCGCGCCTCTTGGTCCGCCCCGCGGCCGTCTCGTCGGCGGCCGGAGCGGGGGCGCCGAGCGCCGGCGCGTCGCCATTGGCGGGAGCCGGGACGCTGCCGGCAAGTTCACCCACGCCGCCGACAGGTCCGCCGGTCACCCCACTCTCACACAGTTCGGCCGCGTTGTCATTGTTCTCACTCGCGCCATCGCAGCTCTCGGCTGGCACTGTTAGGGCGGCGGGGCGCGGCCCGCCGCCGTCGGCTCCGGCCGCCGGGCCGCCGTCGGCTCGCGGCGGGCCGGGAGCCGCGTTAGTCGCGCCACTACAGCTACGTTTGGCACGCGTCTCGGCCTGGTCCGTGCGCTCGTCACCCGTCCCACCGTCCGCCAGACTCAGGTCGGCCAGCAGGTCGGCCGGCGGCGCCGGCGGCGCGGCGCTGGTCGCCGCTTTCGCCAGCCGAGCCGCCACCGACTCGGCGGGCGGCCGACCGCCCCTCCTGCGCGGCGCGCCGGCCGGCTCGGTCGGCGTCACCGCCTGCGCGAGCGCGTCGCCCGACTCGGCGCCGCCGTGCGGCGCGCGGCGGCCAGCCGCCGGCGCCGACGCGTCCGCCGGCGGGGCGTCGTCGCCCGGCAGTGAGGTCTCCTTTGCCCGGGCCGGGCCGTCGCTGTGCGCCGCGGGGTCGTGCGGCGGTGCGGCGGCCTCGCCCGGCGCCAAGAGCAGCCTCAAGGGACGCGGAAATCGGTCGGGCAGAATCGCATCCAGGAGGACGGCGTTTTTCTGCAGGTTCGCGTCGGTTTCGTACAGAATTTCGAGGTCGCTAAGTGTGCCATTTGAGATGAGATAGGTGACGAGCGCATTCTCCAGAACCTGCCAGGGACACGTGAGTTACTGGAACGTTACATCAGCCAGATGCAGAATGAGCGTGCCCAGGACGCTTCCACAGTGACGTTTTCCACGCCATGTAATTCGTGCGAGAGCTTCGAACCCCAATTGATTTCACATAACGTTCAATTCCTGACATCACACGCACGCACGCACGCACGCACTCACGCACGCACGCACGCACGCACGCACGCACGCACGCACGCACGCACGCACGCACACACACACACACACACACACACACACACACACACACACACACACACACACACACACACACCACACACACACACACACACACACACACACATATATATATATATATATATATATATATATATATATATATATATACACATACACACACAGGCAAATTGTAATCAGCACCATACAACAGAAACACGCGACAAACAACGGCACGCCGCTGGCACGTGTGACCTGCTGGGCGGGTTGCACGCCAGACAGGTCCTGCCTTCCAGCGCTAGGAGCGCCGGCCGTGGCAGGGTGGCGTGGGGGGGGGGGGGGGCAGCACTCACCTTCCACTCATGCTGGGGCCGCAGCTCGACGGCCACCACATCGCCGTGCAGCGCACGGTTGCGATCACGCACTCCCCCAACGTAGATGTCCGTCAGCCCGTCCTGCCGCGCAGCCACCACAGCCGCCGGTTAGTCGTGCCGCACCGCGGTCAATGGGAGGCTCGGGGAAGGTGCTGGCTCGACGTCAAGGCGTGACGGGTGACAGAGCTCGCCCGGGCTTACGGTTGTGCGAGCGACGAGCGCACGTCCGAGCCATTACACCGGTCCGTAACGGATTCACGCAGAGCTGACAAACCAGCCCAGCACTGCGGGCCTCCGACGCAGAAACATGGCAGCCAACAGCGGAGGCACCGCGGCCAGAGCACATATCCATACACCATCTGCGGCATGGGACGGATCTCAGCGGGCGGCCCGGCTGCGGCATGGCGGATCAGCGGGGCCGGGCGGGCTGCTGGGCCTGCGCGGTCAGCGGTGCGGTCAGTAAGGCGGGCCGTGAGTGTGCGCCGGGGACCACCCGGCCGCCGGACGGCCGCCGCCCGCCTCGGCCCGAGCGCCACCTCCGGCGCGGAGACGGCAGGGGCGCGGCGCTCGGGGCGGCGGCCGCTCAGAGCTGGCGAGCGCCCCTGGGCGGCCGGGGCGCGGCTCACAGGCGGCACGTCGGCCGTCCGGCGCGCCGGGCGCCGACCCCATCCTCTCACTACACTACTATCGAGTGCGCGCCGCCGGCCGGGCGGCGGTCGCGAGGCACGCGCGGGCCGGCTCGTGGTCAGCTAACCGCCGCCGGCGGGTGACCTGACCTGACCTGACGCGCTCGGCGCCCGCGCCAGCGGGCCGACCCGGCGCCGTCACGGCCCGGGACCGTCGCCTCAGCCGGCGGCGCGCAGCCTCTTAGTGTGGTTAGTAAGCGGACAGAGGACGGAAATGAAATAATACCAATATATACCAAGATTTACCGGAGCGCTGATATATGCATCTTTGTAGCTCTTCGCGTTAATCCGGAGGACACCCTGAAACGCAAACAGCGGGGTTACTGCAGCCTCCCGGAGGGACGCCGAGCAAGCCGCCAGCGTTACAGCACATAAAGAATGTTGACGACAGCGGTCGGCATGACGGGCACCAGCGGCTGCAGCATGTTGTCCTACACCTCGTACGCCGTATCCATTGACGCACGTCTTATGTCGAACTAACCACGTGAGGTAACATGCCTCCGATTGTTCACATTCTCAGTTAGATCACGCAGCAAAGGCACTGACACGCTCAGATAGAAAGCTAGACCCCAATATTCTAAAAGGCGCCTTGTGGTGTACGAGAAAGAGGGCGCTAACACGAGCGTAAAACAGCTCTCCCTGTTGGTCCTTGCTGGTTTTGATGCTTGGTTCCCCTTTATAGTGCCCGGTGCATCAACACACCAGAAATCGGGCCCGGGAACTTCGCCTGATGCAACAACAGTCTACTACGGCACTACAGCTACACTAATACTTCTCCTAGGGACTGCGACAACGGCAGCAATCTGGACGTCCTGATCCGATAACACAGAGCCCCAGGATTGAGATCCGGCCAAACAAGGAACACGACTGAAGGAGGCGTGGTTTGGAGCTCAACACACACCGCCAAGCGCCCCTCTAATTCCTATGCTTGTAATTCACATGCAATATGATCAAACAACCAAGCCGCCAGCCAACGAGGCAGCCTTTCATCTGATTGAAATATGACCACCGCGGGCTTGTGTTTAATAATGGAGTGCTTTCAGTCATGTGACTGGCTCTTGTCGGCGGATGCTCTTCAGTAGTTGGCCTGTTAACCTCGACACTGAGTGATCTGATGACGTCTAGAGTCTCTGAGAAGGTCCGGCTGGTGAGAGTTTACCGCGAAGACATTCAGAACTCCACGACCCAGCGACGAGCATCGTGCGAATCATGACCAATTGGCGACGATCATGGCCGTCCCGCCTTGCAAGTGTGGGAAGCCCTTGCAACCCCATCACCCCGCCATCATGCGACGCCAAAAACACCCCACTCAAATCGCGAGCATGCCACCGACGCCGCAGCCGGCACCGCCTTCACAAAAAGCGCCTCGCGCAAGCATCCCATTACACGAGGCCGTTAACCGCTTGGCGGGCGGGCCATGCAAGCAGCCCACGGCCGGGTGGGCGGCCGACGGGCGACACAGTGTCACGGTGCACAAACAGCGCGCCACTATATCAGCCGGTGGCCGTGACCGGCCCCGCCCAGAGGTCAGCCTGCTCGGGCGGCGGGGGGGGGGGGGGCAGCGGGTGCGGCCGCCGGCACCGCTCACCCGTCAGGTTTCACTCGGCGCAGCGAAAGCATGAATAACGTAACAGAACGCGAGTGGACGCCGCCGCGCCGGGGATGGCGCGGCGAGCGAGGCCGCCGGTATTATCCGGTGATAACGCGTGGTTAATCGGCGACAGCGCGGTAAACGCCGGGTCCGGGGAAAAGGCGCCCCTTTGCCCGATGTTTCGTCACGATGACTGGAAGAGGCGCGGGGCTACGCTACACGAGAACAACATGCTTTCAAGTTTTGACGCGAGAATCCTATGATAATGAAACAGCCCATTTTCCTCCTTTCCGAGCTTACATCATCAAACGGCGCGTAGTGTGTAAGAACACTACGAGACGTTTCGTTAAAAGATGAAAAGATAACAGTGCATTACGTGGCCGAACCAAAACCCTTCAGACCCCAACTCACCTCCACCAGCTGCCCTTTCTTCAGCCCCTGCTGGACGTCGAAGATCGTGGCGTACTCCTCAAACGTCCTCTGATTCTCCCTTTGCGGCGTGCCGTGGAGCCACTGCGGCGTGGCCTGGCGCGAGTGCGGCGTGCCGTGACGCGGCTGCGGCGTAGACTGGCGCGACTGCGGCGTGCCCTGGCGCGACTGCGGCGTTCCCTGGCGCGACCGCGAGTTGGTCTGACGCTGTCTGCTGGCGCTTCCACTGGCCGAGCGCGAGTTTATCGACTCCAGGCTCTCACTGAAACAGGCAGCGGACGTCAGTCAGCGACAAGGCCTGGCCAGTGCAGATGACGTCATCGGACGAGCTGCGCCCGGACCGGTCCCCACTCGCATCTTAATTTCAGTCACGTGCTGGCGTTTAACGTCACGCGCTGCTGATTAACAGCTATTGGGAACGGCTAAGCGAACACGGGTGCCCAAGAAACAAAGCACTTGTCGCGAAAGAGGATTAGTGTAATCCGATTGGACCATTGTCCACGGAAACATGACCAGAACAGGCTTAACGTCGGAAACGATAGTCTCGCTATCGACCATATGATCGCGACGGAATACGCGACATCAGAGCCGGCATACTGACTGATCCGGCCTCTGTTGACGCCGTGACGGCCAGCAGAAAAGAAGCGTGTCGCCAAACGACCCGATCGCAACCAAACAAACCATGGGAGAATCATTCCATGCGGCTAGCACTGTCCCATACGGCTCGCATCGAAGCCATTTCCATTCGCGATCATCCATTACACTGGAGGCATTCGCGGGCGCCGTATCGCCCGTTCAATGAATGACGACGTGGCCTCTCAGGGCCGCTGGGTGTGAAACCTCGAGATATTCAGCCGCGGCCGTCTTAACGAGCCGTGTCAGTCGTCGGACAGCTATATCTCCGCCGTAAAACTCGAACGACGGCCATCAGCCTGCGAACGAGCCCGGCCGCCGCCCCTTCAGTCAGGCAAGCACCAGTGCTTTCCACACGTCCCACCGTCCAAACAGCGCCCGGTGCCGTCCGATGACGAGGAGAAACTCTCCGTTCGCCCCTCGACCCCGTCCCGACCTCCTGTCTTGTTTGGGGGAGCGGCGCCGACTGTCGGCGGCCACCTCCGCTGGGCGGCGGACGCGGACGTCGAGCAGCCGGCGGAGAAACGCCGTCAGCATCGATCAGGGCCAGTTTCGCCGCGTCAGACGGCACCGGGGGCTGGCGACTCGAGCGGACGTGGCCTTGAGGGGAGCGACTGATGGATACGGCGGATGAAGAAGCGACGAGTTAGCGTTCGCCCGGCACCCGGCACAACCCAGCTGTTGTCTCCTTATTTGAAGACGTAACCTCTCTGAGATCCCCGTCTTGCTGATTGTTTGACGGTATTCACGGGCGTTGAATAAGCATCGGTGTCATCGCGTCTCCCAGAACCAAGTGATCCTCCTCACCGGTAAGACGGCGACACGTCCACGGCCTCATTCCAGGGGCACGGGCCGTCGACGCGGCACCGATCGAGGAGCCGGCGAGCGTCAGCAGCCGTGGCGTCGCCAGTGAATGTGTGTTATCACGGGCAGCGGTCCAGTGTCAAGAGCTGACCGCTGACAACTACACCAGTCCCCCACAGCACCACCGCGGAACTCTAGCAGCCCACTCAGCAGAGCACACGCCATCCCCAACGCCGGCGGCTGGCAGAGGCGCGCCGCCGCCCCGCCGCGCCGCCCGCTCCCGCGCGGTTTATCTCCGACGGAGGCGCGCCAAATACGCACGACCGGAGGCGTGCCCGGCCCGCGGTGACGCGGCACCCACCCAGGGCTCGACCGGCACCGCGGGGACGCGCGGCGGGGCCCGGCTGCCGCCGCAGGGCCTCACCGACACGACAAGCAGCGCAAACGGGTCGCATGCGGGCGGCCGCGACGGGGGTCGCGCGTTGCGGCGGGCAGGGGCGGTGCCGCGGCGCCGCGGCCGGAAACGTCACCGCTGCAGATCCCGCGCGGCCGTCCAATGAAAGACTCGGACTCGGGGCGTGTCAACAGTGATCAACATTCGGAGAGGCCTTTGAGTGCTGTCCTGAGGTGTTCCGAGGTTTTGTTGGAGGTAGAGACATTGGGCGCTGCCGAAGTGATGCCATTCCATAAAATGTGTAACGCTTTTCGTCACCGACCATTGCAATGTCTGCATTTTGCAACGCCTTCTCACGACCACCCGGAAAACGACATTTCTGGGCAAGAAAGGCGTTTATAGCACGCTCCTTTCAACCCACTAATGTGCGCTTACATGCAATCCATCAGCGGGACAAGATGAGCAGAACGTTTTGACGCTGCCCACGGCCGCGATGTCACCGCTGAAGACTTCCCGTCCGGTACCCCACACATACGGACGTGCTTCATCATTGCTGACCAACTAACGCTGTCGATGGCTCGCTGCGAGAGCCGGGTCGCCATGAGAGCAGCCCGGCCCACAAACGCCCCACGACAAGGCCTCGGCCGGCCTGCGGACTCCAATCACCCCGCCGGACGCGACCGCACCGCCGAACGCCAAGCGACCTCCAGCCAGACGACACCGCAGACGCTAATGGCCCCACGCCGCGGCTGATGGGCGGATTAGCGCATTAAGCCACGCTCCACGTTGTGGCGCTACCGGCGGGCGCGTCACATCGCCGCCCCCGCGCTGAGACGGCGGGCCACCCACGGTGTCCGAGCCGGGCACGCACCCCAGGGGAGCCGCCACCACTCCCCGACCACCGGTGGCTACACCTTTGATGGACAGCAGCCAGATGCGCTGCGTGCAGGGGGTAGTCAAAAGCTATCGGAGCCAGTAACTGAATGCTGAGAGCAGTCACTTTCAACCATTAGTGTAACCGCGACTCTGCCTGAGATTGCAGGGGCAAATCAGGATTGGAGGGGTAAAGCCAAAAAGTGTGGAGACGTGACGTGAAAATAATAACAAATTGGAATGCAAAAACGTGAAAACTTCGTTCTATTGGCAAAATTCGAGAGCATTAAGATCTCGCTTTGGGAAAGTTGAGGACAGGTGTCCCAGTCCCTTTCTACAGTGGTTATACCCATGCTTTCAGCATTTCATACCTTACAAAACAATTACAAGACACTTACACAAGACACAAGACACTTGCAAGGCGTACAAGAATACGTTCCAATTGGGCAGCGACTCGACTTAATCGCGGCTCACATAGTCACAGCTCCACGACCTGATCATGTTGGTCTTCTTCCACGCTGTCTATATGTTCCGATGCCTCCCTATCTACACATGTATCTCAGGGACGTTCCCTTTCTTCCCCGGCTACCTTGAGACGTCGCTAGGCCAGGGAAGCCGCGGCAGGTGCCCCATTGACACCCGTCCCGCCTGACAGCCACCGCCGTATGGGACCGGTCCTCCGCACTCCGCGAACGGCGCGCCGTCCGCCCGCGTGGGAGGCCAGCCCCTTCAGGCGGCGTGACAGCGTCAGCCGGCTGGTCACGTGGGCTGACGGGGCGCCATCATTCGCGGAACGCAGCCTCAGCAGCTTCTGCACACGACAAAGCGCCGCGGCCGGCACCCCGTCGCACGCTTCAGTGTACCAGCGTCAACTCAGGACTTCCTCGTCACCGATCCGGCGAACGGCATGTTGCATTTCAACAGACGCCAAGAAAGGTGTGGCAAGGGCATAACGTCAGGTCTGGCTGATGAACAACAGTCGCGTGCGGTTCCTTGAGCTCACTGTCAATAGTTCTGCTCTCCCCCAACCCCCACCCGCTCCCGCTTCCACTAAATGCTCCTGAGGGGTGTCCACTTTTCCTGCCGCATCACCCACGGCGACTTCAAAGCCTCAACCAGCCACCGACTGAGCGTTTGCGCTTTGCCCGACGCCGTGTGAAGAGCAGCCGTGCAATGTCCTCAAGAGCCACCGACCACACTTGACGGCAGCTGCCGACGAGGCGTCGGCGAGTGCACGTCCCGGCAACCTGCCTCGGTGCTCTCCTGCCGACGCTGTGTGAAGAGCAGCCGCGCAATGTCCTCAAGAGCCAACGACCACACTTGACGCTAGCTGCCCACGAGACGTCGGCGAGTGCCTCGGTAAGTCCCGGCAGCCTGCCTCGGTGCCGTCCCGCCACTCTCGCGAGGTTCCCCCGGGGCGGGCGAGGACGCCAGCAACACCCGCGGGCCGCGGCCGGCGCCGCTCCGACGCCGTCTCCTCCCGGGCGCCAGTCACACGCTCGTAACCATCGGCGTGACGCCACGTGACGCGGCGAGTCGCCGGCGCCGGGCGTCACGCGGTCCCGGCGGGGCGGAGGCGGCGGAAATAGAAGGGGGAAGCGGATGGTCACGGGACGTAAACGGCGGCACGAGTCGCTCAGGCCGCCTCCACGCCGGACCGACGGCGGCAATCGCCGCCGAGCGAGCGGGGCCACATCGTCAGCCAGCCCGACACCTCGCGTCGCGCGAGCGCCGGCCGTAGCGCGGCCGCGCGGCCGGGCTCGGTAGCGCTCACGCGTCTCGCCGCCGCCGTCGCCGCCGCCGCGTGAGACCGCCCTCGGCAGCCGATGCGATCGGGTGCTAATGGCGGCACCGGCCTTGGCGCATTTGCATCTGTCAAAGGAGACACGGGAGAAGGCGCGAAGAAGACGGCCGACACGTGCGAGCGACTCCAGTCGCGCCCATTGAGAAACCGGTGGCGGAGGCGGCGCGGTCGCGTCACGCGCCCCGCGCCGTCCGCCCCAGCGGCGGCAGCGGCGCAGCGTCACCGCTGGGTGCCCCCTACGTCGCCGACGGCCAGCCGTCGAACCATGCGCCAACGAGCGGCGGCGGCGGCGGCGGCGAAGGTCACCAAGTCGGCCGCGGTGGACGCGACCGAGGCGCCGCCGCCGCCGGCGAAGATCCACCGGGCCACCGCCCGCGGCATTCATCCACGGCGGCGTGCGGAGCGCGCTCGGCGGCTCACTGCTGGCCGGCGCCGCTCGGGCCCGATAGGGCGACGCGCCGGGCGCGCCTTCAGGGAACTGGCAGCGCGGCACGAGCCACCGCTGACGGCATTAGTCTCAGACGTGTCCGGCGCTCCGAGGGTGCGGAGCAGTGATGGGACGTTTTGTTGAAGGCACCGAGACAGCGGGCGAAAGATCGGCGCGTGATAGCGGCGAGCTGTGCGCTGATTGGTTCCGAGGACCTCGTCCGCTTTCATCTGGGCGTTCCTGCAGCTTTGATATGCCCGAGAGTGCTCGGCGTTCCAGATTCTCGGCACGTACCATGCGCAGCACCCCAGGAAGGCGCAATCGGTGCCGCGGGCCCCTGACTAGCCGAAATTGCCTCCTAGCGGCTGCCCCAATCCGACGCGCCGTTCACATTCTGCGCAGCTGATTGCGGCGTGGGAGGTCCCGGATCTAATATTTCCAGTCGTTACCATCAACATTTAGGCCATCCAGCGCGGGCCTGAGGCGATAGCCGAGAGTGTGACGGCCATTCCGATGTTACCGCGGTCTATCTGCATAAACACTATGCACAACATGCATGAACATCGGCCGCCCACCATGGCCCTGCCCTATCCTGCGAGCTTAGCGGACGGGGCGTACGGCACACCTTTCCGGCCCACGTCCGCACCCACTGCCCACACGGCCACCGAAGCGCGCGCGCCGCCCACCCTCACCGGCCACAGAGCCGCGTCAGCCGTCAAGCCCGGCGACGACCCCCTTCGAACGCGACGGCCGGTCACTCGGCGCACGCACCTGGGCTTGACCTCCATGTTGCTGTGATTGGTGAAGACACGCGCATCACCGGCGATGCGGCCGCGGTGCCAGCAGACGGAGCCGGAGCCGGAGCCGAGCGAGCCGTCCGAGCCGGCACTCTGCGGGCTCGGCAGGCTCTGGAAGCCCGACGAGTCGCTGCGCGACGGAGACGGCCGGCTGCGGGCGCTCGAGCCGACGCTGCGGGGAGTCACCGACAGCGGGCTGTGGGCAGGGGCAGCGCGGACGCTCAGAACAGACAACGAGGGGCGTCACCGACAGCAGGCTGTGGGCGGGCCAGGTCAGGCCAGGCCAGGTCAGGTCAGGTCAGGTCAGGTCAGGTCAGGGCAGGTCAGGGCAGGGCAGGGCAGGGCAGGGCAGGGCAGGGCAGGGCAGGGCAGACGGCCAAAGCCGACACTGTGCGGCGTCTCCGACAGCGGGCTGTGAGCAGGGGCAGAGCAGGGCAGGTTATACGGGTCAGAGCCGACACTGGAAGCTGCCGACAGAAGACTGGGACGGTGGGGAGGGAAGGGAATAGATGTGCTGATTGGATTGCAAATTGTTTGAATGCAAAAATTACCAAGCCCAATTTGGCGATTAGACGGAGAGGGGCAAACAACTTTGGATTTTTTTCGACAGCCGGTATCATTATGTTGTCACAAATTGGCATGCATCTCGCATATCTAATGCCGCTCGCTTTCAAACTATTTTGATTCTGGAACATAAACAAGCTATTGATGGGGCACACTATAAAATACTTATGCTTAGACCAGGTCCTAGATCTAGATCTATTTCTAGACCAGGTCCCAACCAGCAGCGTGGAGTGCCGACAACGGCAGCCACGGAGTTCAGTTCGGCCAATAACGCGGACAGCGGCCCACAGCGGACTGCCAGGAGCGCACACCGAACGGCGATGTAATAAATATGAAATGGAAATGAAATAAGCAGGAAGGCCTTGAGATCCTGGTTTTTCGGCATGAGTTCAAAGTTTTCTGTTGGCAGCTGTCGCCTTTTAATACACCGGTGGGTACTAGTTAAATGGCGCTATCAAGAAAAAATTGGCTCATAGTTGCGAATGAACAAATTTAATAAAAAACGAGCGCTTCAAGGGCCAGATGAAGCCAGATCAGGCCATGCGGACGTCCAGGGGTGCTCTCTCGACACGGCGCTGTTCGACCGTAACAGAGGGAAACCAGGTTGCAAGAGGACGACGTCATTGTGGTGAATGCGGAGCCAATGTGCAGGGGCACCGCCCTTGAGTCAACGTTGACAAAACGGTACGGAGTGTCCACCTGCACCGTTGCATCAGCCGGCGCCTTCTCGGGCACAGGAGTCGTTGTGTTTTCTCCGGCCAAGAGTAGTCGGAACGGAGGCGAGCGAGTAAATAAGTGGCACTCAAGTCCGTGTTTCAGCTGTCGTTTGTTCTACTATGTCAGCACGCCGGCAAAGGCTGGATGATTCTGCCACATACTGAGGCTGAAGTGACTGCAGTTTATCCCCTTAGCCCGAAATATGCGGATTGAGTTCATGAAACAAACAATTCATTCCTTTGCCCGCTTAAACGTACTTGTATAAATACTGAGTCAGTTGTGACGTGATTTCGCACAACTTTGCGCGCGTCAGTGAGCATGTTTCTCACCAGTTGACTCAATCCAAGAGCAAGGGATCCATGATGCTGTCAGTTTCGTTCGTAAGCTTCACTTAACTTGCTTACAATGTGGCCTACTCCGTGTTTATCCGTTGTAACTTGCAACTATGCTATGTTGCCATACTAGCACACGCTTTAACAGGCGCGGGTTTCCCGAACACACTACAAAACAACAGCGACCGAGAAGGGCGATTGCACCACATGGCTGACATCGACACAAATTGCCTCCCACAGAAATGAAACGAGTCACATGACGCATACCTGATGGATACGTGCTTCTCGGGTGTTTTGCGAGCCGTGGAGATGCTCAGAGGCTTCAGGCACTTCTTGCGCGGTTCAGGCTCCTCAGAGACCCTATTGGCCGAAGCGAGGTTCAAGGTCAACGCCTGCAAACCTATCAGTGCCGCGTGATCCTCGATGTCCTCGAAGTCGGTCTTCAGGGACCGGGGCGATGGCCCCTCGTTGACGTGGATGAACGACGCACAAGACTGCGGAAGAGAGACAGACGCGTAAAATATTTTGTCAGATGACTGGGATAGACCACAAGCCATGCGCTGACAGTCAATGGACGTGGGGTCGTCCGAAGCACAGCGATCTTGGATATCGCCGCAAATTCAAGTCTGTCAACGAATAATAGTTAAAAATGTGCATTGTTGCAAACCCACCAGTCATCCCTGTGGTACCCAAAGCACAAGGGACACCGCAGTCAGACGCTGCATGTCTCTGAATGTCACGCACGTGACAAGAAGGTCCATGAACGTGCGGTAAAATAAATTGAATGCCAGTACCGCAAATGGATTGAACAAGCAGAGGCGATTGCTCAGAGGGCGAGGCGGGTATAGCCCGCAAGGGCAGGCAGGCAGGCCGGCGGAAATTAGGCTGAGCACGACTTGGCGCCGACCAAACACTCAATTTCCGTTCAGCGAGGGCACCGCCCTCGCGTCCTATGCAGTCGCGATGAGACGGCTAAACAGCCGCCGCGCAAAACCGCTCCCCGGGAGGATGTGCGAAATTAACAGCAATTTATGCGACGCGCAAGAAGTCGACGCCTCGACAGATGACAACAAACGGTCGTAAACGAGGCGACAGGGTGCCAAGCCCCGCGACCCGGCTCGTTTCCATCCCACGAGGCGAGCTTGCGCGCCCCGCCCCGAAGGTCCGTCACGCGAGCGTCACACCCCGCTGCGCCCGGACAAGCCGCCGGCCGCATTGTGCTGTCCGCCGACGCCGCCGCCGCGACAAAAGCAGGAAACAGTAAAGGACCCTGCAGCAGACACCCGATCGTGTTGCACCCGAGGCACCGGCGGTACCCCGTTCCGCCTCGGCGCGTGCTCGTGCCGGCCCTGACGATGCGGCTCTTCTCCGCAGTTGGCGGCGCCCACGCGGAGCGGGGAGCGCGTCAAGGAGCCCCCGCCGCGTGTCGTATGCAGCTCCCAGGTCGAGCTCGGCAGCCCGGTCACGTCTTTGAGGGCAGCGCTGTTGGCTGGGTGCGGCATATGAAGCCGTTTCGCGCCGCCCACGCCGGCCGGTCAGGCATCGATCACAGGACGGGCACTGCTGTTGGTCACGCGCTGCCCGCTGTTACGCCCACCGACGCTCGTGGGGTGAGCCCGGATGCTGAGTTATGCGCCACACCGGCAACGCCTCGACCGCTCAATGAAGCCGACAACTGAGAACAAATAACACTGCAGAATGGCTTCCAACGGCACTCTTCACGAGCCGATAAGACCAAAGCTGGCATGGTACATAGCCAGGATATCGCAACAAATCCCCGTGTTCTTGGGGACTTTCTAAGCCCGTTGGTGAGGTATCACTGGTGACTTTGGCGCAGCGGGTGAGCACGACCGCCCCAGTTCCAAACCGGGACCCTACGACAGCGACGATGACGCCACATGGGAAACGGCGCGGTGGTCACACGTGACCGCGCGGTCAGCACTGCCACGGCCGCTTTCCTTCCTGCAGCGGGTCGGCGTGCTGTTACATGACAACACGCACTGCGACCTGCAACCGCAGCCCGCCGCCGACCGGCGCCTTCGCGGCGACGGAGCCGGCTCGACCGCGGCGCCGGTCGCCGCGCAGCGCCCGGCGCTGAACTGACCCCGAGGTTTTCACCTCTGCCCAACCAGCGGTGGTTACGTCCACAGCCGGGGGAGGCACCAATGGCCCGTATCGCGGGGCCACCGCTCGCCCAGCGCAGGAGACGGCGACGCCGCTCTGTAGTTTGCGAGTCTGAAGTGGCGGCGCGGCCCGCCGGCTGGGCGGCCGCTGGTGTCACTTTTTGCCGAGTGCGTGGGCCGACGGCGCGCGCGCGCGCGCTTATTCATGAGCGGACACCGGTGGTTGCCCAGCGGGGAACCGTCAGTCCAGCACCGAACCCGGCATATTTTTGTGCGGAACATTAACGTGAGAACGTAGTCGCCGGCGCGGCGCGTATAAACACGCGGCTGCGGCCGAGCGCTGCGCGTGCACGCGGGAATATTAGCTCCCGAAAACGGGCTCGCGACGTGTCACCAAATAATCGCGAGTCACAGCGGCGACGGCGGACGGCCGGGGCGGCGGGACAGCGGATGGCGGACGGCGGACGGCCGGGGCGGCGGGACAGCGGATGGCGGACGGCGGACGGCCGGGGCGGCGGGACAGCGGACGGCGGACGGCGGACGGCGGGCGGCGGGCGGCGGGCGGCGGACTACGGACAGCAGCGGGCGGCGGCGGCGGCGACGGCGGCGTGACCTCCGTCGGCGGCGTCCAGCGGCGCGGCGGCACGGGAACACGCGCCGACAGCGGCGGCCGCCGTCCGCGTGACCGCGCCGCCCCCGTCCGTCACAGCGCCGGCGCCGTGATGTGACGCGGCCCGCTCACGCCGGGAGGCCAGCCGATCCGGGGCCGCGCCGGTCCGGGTCGGCGCCGAGCCGCCGGCCGGCAGGGGGCGGGCGGCGCGGCCGCTCTGCACCACCGCATCGCGGCTGATCGGGCGTAGTTCACGGACGGAGACAAATGGTGCGGCGCTGCGCTGAATCTCGCCGCGGACACTCGCCAGCGCATCGCCATGGCAACGGTATAGTCGATGAGTGCGCACAAGTGGAGGCCGGCCAGCGAGAGCTCCGACGAGCCGCAGGTGGCAGCACATGTAAATGCTGCCAGCGGGATGTCGGACTCGGACGGTCGTGCGACTCCGGGGGCCGCGAGCACACGGGTGACGGCAGTTCATTCTGTGAACTGCCGCCTGTCGTGCGGTGCATTGCATAATGTAAAATATATGCAAGGCAGGAGCGAGAGAGGCCTGGTTCCCACGAGTGGGGCCACACCATGCGGAAGTGTTGACACGGGCAGCCCGGTCAATGAAGCGAAACGCCGGGCGATGACATGCTGTTTACTTGCGTCTGTCGCGTCACCATCAGCGCATCGACGAAGTGGCTGATGGCGCCCGCAGCGCCAACACACTGTACGCGAAGAGCGAGTTAAACCAAGCGGCAAGTGACAACCACACGTTAAAGCGAACAAGGTAATGACATTGAGAAAATGACGCCATTGGACGGCGATGGCGATCACAATGTCGGGTCACGGCATGTTGTCTTTTATGACGGAATCACTGCTCCTATCCGCCCGCTACTGCGCACAAGCCCACCAATCCAGGTCACCTGAGCCTTAGTCACCATCGGTATGCCGCCTCCCCTGACGTCGCTGTCATGCGGAGCCGTCTGGTGTCACCTGCACGGCCCAGCTGCCGTCAGCGCGCGACACATCGGGTGTCCGGCGCGCTCGCCGCAAAGGTCCGGGGCGCGTTTTCAGATTCCGCCGCCAGGCGACGGGCCGGAGCCGAACGCGGCGGTCCAGGGCGCCGCCGCCGTCGGCCGAGAGCACGGGCCGCCCGAGATGGCTACAAACGTCACAACAGCCGCGGAACAGACGGCGGCGCCGCTGTTTGTGGCCGCCGCCGCCGCCAATGCGCTAACGAGCCCGACCGATCACTGCGGCCGTTAGTCGTGACTGGGAGCGGCAGGATGCGGCGCCAGTGCAAGCTGCAGACCTCATCCGCACAGCCGCCGATCGCCGTCGCCTCGACTTCGGGGCAGCGTCCGCCGCAGTAACGGGGCGTTCGCAGCGAGCGTTCCTCCGCCCGCTGCAGGCCGAGAATGCGGACCTGACCGAGCGCTGGCGCGCAGGGCGGACGGGTGATGACCGGTCCCAGTCCGCGCAGACTACGCTCGCCGTCATTCCATGGCCGCACCTTCCGCCTGCCATCACACCAACGCGGACTATGCAAATCAACGCCAGGTGGGTAAGGGGGGGGGGGGAGACTCTGCAGCGGAGTCCCATGCCGGCTGGCCGCTCCCCAGACGCCGGGGCGCCGCCGGGCCCGCGGCTGGAGCCGCTCGGGCCTCCTCCGCGGCGCCGAGCGCAACCGGATGTGCCGCGCACAGCCCCCGCGGCCACGGACAACATCCCACGGCCGCCGACAACAGCCGCCGCCGGCCGCGCGACCACGGACAACACCGCACGCACGGCGGCGCGGCACGTCAGCGGCGTCAGCCGCACTCGCCGCGTGACCGGGGAGGGGGAGGAGGGGAAGCGTTCTGCCGGGGCGGCCGCGCAGTGCCCGGCGACCGCCGGCGGCACCGAAGGCGGTGCGCGTTGTCGCGCGCTGCCAGATTCAAGAGCAAGGTCGGCGCGACCTCGGCGAGCGGCCGCTGACGTCAGCCCGCCGGAGACGGACGGTCTGTCGCGGCGCCCATTCATTACTGGACGCATTGTGCCGGCGCCCGCACGCCATCTGCCGTCCCGCCTGCAGACACGGTCAACAGGGCCGTGTTTGTGGCCGACGGTGGCGGCGGGGGCGCCGGACGCCGCTCCGCCGACGACAGCGGCGGCCCGCAGATCGCCGCTCGGCAGAGGTCACCCTCGGTGTAGGGCTCGTGGTGTGTGGGTGACGAGGTACTTGCAACATAAAGCACGGCCATTGAAAGACCGTGCTGCAGTCGGGTAGCACTGGAGGGGCACCAGGCATGCCGGATGCATAGCATGGTGTTCAGATCAATGCATGTCCACTGCTTCTCTACGTCGTAAACAAGTTGTTAGGTCTTCTTCATCTCTCAAACCATCCTCCTTCCATGACTGAAGGATTTTGCAACTGAACGCTCTAATTTCATAGCCCGGCTAAAGCCGTTATGAGCCTGCGGAACCGTATAGCTGCCGCCTGGGCTTAAACTCGGAGCAGTTCATCCACATGGTCGCCCGACCCAACTGCCGATGCGCCCGAGGATTCGCCGACGCGTCCGCTCCGACTGTCGGCCGACCAAAGCCGGCACTGACCGGCCGCCACCGGCGCTGACCGACGCGGCGGCGTCGGCGCGGCGCCGCCGCCATTCGATCTACGGGGAATCGGTAGTTATGTGCAGCTAGTGGCACGGGTCGCACATGGAAAGTCCCGAGGCGCGTGAGTCAGCCCCGGGCGAGGGTCGACAGCACCCGGGAGGGCGATGGGAAGTCC